CACATTACTGAATTGCTGTATGAGTTCTAGTAATTTTGGGGTGGAGTCTTTTGGGTTTTCCACATAAAGTATCATGTCATCTGCAAAAAGAAAGAGTTTGACTTCTTCTTGCCAATTTGAATACATTTTATTTCTTTTTGTTGTCTGATTGCTGTCGCTAGGACTTCTAGTACTATGTTGAACAATAGTGGTGAGAGTGGGCATTCTTGATGTGTTCCTGATCTTAAGGGAAAGGCTCTCAGCTTTTCCCCATTGAGGATGATATTTGCTGTGGGTTTTTCATAGATGGATTTTATGAACTTGAGGAATGTTCCCTCTACCCCTATACTCTGAAGAGTTTTAATCAGGAAATGATGTTGTATTTTGTCAAATGCCTTTTCTGCATCAATTGAGAGGGCCATATGTTAATATTTGTTTCATGTTTATGTAGAAATGGGACTAAGTGTGTGGGCCCTTGTAGGGGGATTGCAGGGTGTGCTGATGGCTGTGCTCAGTCTCTCTGTCCCTTGAGCAGTTCAGCTCCTGCCCTAGACACCCCACTCAATAAAACTGAAGTCCACAGCTCCTAGAAACCAGACAGAGGCCCCCCTCCCTAGAAATCATCATTCATGCTATTAAAAGCATGGCCTCCAGGGGCTCATGCCTGAAGTTAGCAGGCCTCAACCACAGGTGTGGTGTCCTGGTGGGAGTTTTGGTAAATACAGTATCTTCACCCTACCCCTCTGAAAGAGTGCTACTAAGTATCTCTGTGGTGGCTGCTGAGTGCCCTAGCGTTCCTCTGGTCCTCATTCTATGTCCCAGGGAAGGGTGGGGAAATAGCCTGGAACCACACTGTCCTTAGCCTGCAGTTCTGGAGCATACTGGGCTGGCTCTCAACGCAGCCTGGTCCTCTTTTCCTCTCTCTTCTAGAAGAGTCTCCCATGGGGCTGGCATCAGCATAGCTGCTTTGTTCCCCTCTTGTGTGCTCTGTTCCTTGTTCTCTGGCTTCTCATCTGCCCCCTTCCCCACCCTGTCCCCTTCCTGCTCTCATGTAGCCCTCAGCTAATCCCCGATAGCCAGCTGATGCTCTTACTTTGCCCAGGGCATTTTTTAAAGGCAATAAGTTGTTTTAGGGGACGAGATTCGTGACACTTTAGGTCATAACACTGCTGGGAAGGTATTTGAGATTGGAGGACATTTGTCAACATCCTTTAACTTTTACCAAATTAGCACTGTCTCCCACAGTGATGACACCCATTTCAAAGCTTTTTCTGCCCATTGAATTTCGCCTCTCACAGTCTGTGAAGTAGGAAGGGCAGTTATTCTTATTCCCATTTTAAAGACAAGGACACTAAGCTTCGGAGAGGCAGGAGGACTTCCCCTCAGGCACATTACCAGTAAGTGGCAGAAATGCCACATAAGCCTTTGACCTAAAGTCCAGCGTTCTCTCCTCTGTTCTTCAGAGTCTCCAAGTATGCTATTTTAGGGATCTAGCCTAAATTTCAGCATAATTACAGCAGTTAACTGAGTCTCTTTCACAGACTTAAGATAGAACTGATTCAGTTCAGTTTATATCAGTTCTACATTGGGCCTATGAGGAGCACTGAGCTAACTGTTGAGAGTGGGATGGGAAACCCAGGCTCTGCCCTCAAGGGGCTCACAAGTGAGAGGAGGACACACCTCACTGGGGCTTTTCTAATGCCTTCCCTATCCCCTCTTACTCTCAGGAAAGAAAATAAGCTCTTTTCTCCATCCAACTGGAGGGCTTGACTTTTCCAAGTGGCTTGGTTTTAGAAGAGAAGTAAGTGATTCTGGAAATCTGATAATGGGTTGCAGCCAGACCCTAATGGGACAGGCACTTTTTGATCTGCTTCAGTGGCTCTTGATCTGGAAGAAGACCCTGTGGTGAAAACCATCATGAACCAGAGCAGGACTTCTCCTTCGGCACCAAAATGTGAGCTCCCAATTTTCTTCCCTTGCTGTGAGTTCTGTGGTTATGCACAACCCTGCAGGAAAGGACCTCATTGGATTCCCAGAGACTGAACCAGAGATGTCCCATCTGACCAGGAGAAGCAACTGTGAGGGTGACTGTGGCCAGTCACAACTGCGTATTGACCCTTTCCTGATCTCTTATGACCTTCACAGCTAACAGAACATTGCAGAGATCTACTATGGTGACTGCATTTTCTGAGCACAAAACTAGGCCAAGTGGCCCCACAGGCATGGCTCGGACAATAGGAAAGAAAGACCGACCTTGTGACTTCTTTGAAATGCTAGAAGTAAAAATGGCATCCCTCCTTGCATCCCCCTTCCTGGGTACTGGAAGTGCTTGTTTGTGAGGGTGAGCTAGGTAAAGGGGTTCAATGGCAGGTGTCCTTCTCTGCCCCATGCTGAGAATACAGTAGGTTTCTTTCATGGGCAGCTATCTCTTTTCTTCTTTTGCTCCATTTCCCTTTGTTCCAAAGTTTTCTTTGGGGGGGAGGTGTGTGTGTCAAGTAAACCCTTTGCTTTCCCTGACACCACGGAATACTCTTAGGCATGTGACTTTGATATCCACATTCTTCTGGGGGCCTGGGCAGTGATACTGGCTTTCTCTGTTCAGATGATCAGAATCCTGAACCAAGGCAGAAGTTTGAGACAAAGTCTTCCTTTCCTCCTATCTTTGGTGCCTAACATAGCCCCCTCCCCCAGCCTTGATTTCATTTTTTTCTTGAGAAACCTTAGGACACATGAGATCTTGAGGTATTTGGAGATCTTAAACAATCAATACCATTTATTACTGTCCATCAGGTGAAGCAACAGAGCCAAAAGGTCTAATTTACAAGTGACCCTTGATTTGAAGCTTAATTGAGTCCTGGACAGCCATGACAAATTAAACCAGAGTCAAACTCTCATTTTCTGTAAGCACCATCTTATAAATTCTACTCCCTGCCTTGGAATCTAATCTTGGACCACCAAAATACCCTGAGTGATTCCAACAAAATAATAAAATAAAATACAGGGACATGCTTTTCAAACATTTAGAAACTATATAAAAAGAAATAAATTCAATAGAAAAGCTACAGCAGTGTTCCATTTGGGGGGCTCCTAAGTCTTTTGGATTGAAATGAACTTGCTTCTTAAAATGTTGCTTCAGTGACATCTGGATTGAAGTCATCTTTCTGATAAATCTCCCTATGAACAGTGCTTCTCCACTGAGGGAGATTTTGCCCCCCACGGCAAAATTACAGCTGGCAGTGTTTGAAGATACTTTTGGTTGTTGCAACTTGTAGGATGGTGGTGGTTCTCCTGGAATTCTGTAGGGAAGAGCCAAGGATGCTGCTAAGGATTCTGCAATGCATAGGACAGTTTCCCATGACAAAGAATTATCTGACCAAAATGCCAATAGCACTGCTGTATTAAAACCCTGCCTCGTAGCAAGCATGGGCATTTCAAATTGAGTTAAAATTCAGGTCGTTTCTTTGGAAGAGAAAATGTTGAAGACTAAATTTACATGAATACCTCTCAAGGTCTTTAAATGGTACAAGATGGGGTTGGGGGGGTGGTTGGAAAGGAGGACAGGTGTTTCCACCTTGACTTCTTCGGTGATTCCTCATGCTCCCGTGTCAATAAGTCAGCTGAGTTGCCTTTAATAGCAACCTAGGTTGTCATTGTTTCCATGTAGCTTTGGTTGTAAATATAAGTTTTGGTTATTACTCTGTGGGTTTTATTTATGGGAAAAGAAAGTCATAAAAAGTGAGCGTGGATCACAAATCATGGTGGGTACCCCCCTGCGCCCAGAAGTAATTTATACATTTCTTCATTGTTCTTCCTGTTTTTCTTGGATCTTTAAATTTCCTGTACAGCTAGCATATTGAATTTTCATAATTGTTACTGCATTTCTTGTAATTTATACTCATTTCCCAGAAACCTCCAAAGGGCTTATTGTTTATCACGAAGAGTAGACCCAAAGCTTTCACACAAGCTATGAATGAGTGCTTAGCTGTGATCTCCGATAATAACAAGTCTCATTTCATGCATTAAAGGGCGTCAACATCTAAAAGTACCAGAACTTTTGGACTGCCCTCCCTCCCCTCTGCTCCCCCAACCAAGGAAGATTCTATATTAATCAGTCCTTTGAGAAGGTTCTGTTAGCTTTTTGGATTCAAGGAGCTCCTTAATTGCCACTTCCCTAATATTTGAAGTGTTTGAAATGTGTCTGAGTTTAAAAAAGAATATTGTCAATATTGAAATGACAACCCTCGTTCTATTTAACTGAGTTCTTTTACTGTACATCTCTTCCCAGTTCCTCACAAATGTGTAAACATACATTTGGAAATTTTACCCTGACCTATTTTAAAACCTCTGAAGTGCAGGGCTTCCTCCACATATGTTGGAACATCTGGGCTGGGGAGCAGGGAATTTGGTGCAAGTGGGTGGAAACAGAATGAGGCAAAAAGAGACTCTGTCTTTTCAAAGAGGGACCAGGCCTTTGTCCCTGGCCATCCAGAGCCAGCGTTGGGTCAGATCCATGGTAGGTGTTCACTGAACTCAGATTGGGACATGAGGAAAGAAGAACAAGAGACATGGTTATGTGTGGATTTATGAGTCCAATACATGTTCTTTCTAGGATTCTTGGAAAGCCTGAGCAGTGGAATGGAGTGTACAAGTGCACATCACATGAGAGGAGAGATGGGTCCCAGGAGCCCTTATTCCTTAATGATATCCTTCTGTGGACTGGCAAGAGGTGGCTGCGGAGGCACATGTCCCCAGGGCCACCGGGGTCATCGCGGGAGAGAAGACGTTACTGTGTTTAGGTTGGGTTCTTGGTAATTGCACTGATGACTAATGCTGCTAACATTTCTCTTGCTTAATAATCCACTTTTAATTTTTCCTGTGGCAGTTCTTCGTTCCCACAACACAGCAATAATTAAATCTGTGTTCAGATCTTTGTAAATGCACCCAGAGGTCTTAAGCAATGGGTGAATCATACTCATTTAAGTTAAAACATAATGTTAGCATTCAGCCACCTCAGGAATAAATACTAATTACTGAAATTCCTTTAAGTTCCACTGTATACGTCTAGTTTCCATTTCCCAGATAACACGCAGGGCGAGATTCAGGCCATGGGCTTTATCTGCATATTACAACGGTCCCTCCTCAGGTAACACCATCCTGAGGTGTGGGTTTCCAGGGTGGCTTATTTCAAAGAAGACCAGGAAATGGGGCTGTTTTTAAAGGTCTTCTCTTGCTGCCCTCACCGAAATGTTTTTTAGGAAATTATGGAGGAAGAAGAAATGAGCCACAGGGAACAGGCTCTGAAAAGTGTCAGCACAGGGCAGATGCTTCAGTGGGAGACTGTCATGTGACTGGAAGCTGGGGTTTTTGTCCCTGCTGCTCACATGGCCTAGGTTTGGGAACAGGACTGCTGGAGCCTAGAATCCTGGGAGGAATGGAACTTAAAAAACAATTTTATTTCCAAATTTTTAAAGTATTCTCTAAGTCCCCTTTAAAAGTATTTCTCTATCTCCCTTTTAACATGGGAACATGGAGAAACACTGCTCCCTCTTTGCCCTGGAATTTCATAAGTTTCCATCTACCCCTGGCCTGTGGAGAGCTCTGTCATCAGACTCCTTCTGGGGTGCCAGGGAGCCAGGAGCACATGACGACTCTACCACTCCTAGCCCTGCTTCTACAGGTTATGCTGTTCCATGCCCTCTTACTCTGATTTGTGCTGTTCCCTCCTCACCGTCCCACTTGGGTAATTCCTACGGTCATAAAACTCAAGACAGGCAGACGCCCCTCCCCGCAGGCAGTCTCCTGGAATGCCCCTCCCTCTCCAATGAGGGTGTAGGGAGGACTTGTCTGGGTTCTGCTCTGTTACTGTCTCCTCTACACTTCTACCTTGCGTGCTTGTGGAGCTGAGCTGGATGGAAGTTTCCCTCATGCCCCTGCTCTTTGGGCTGTTACCTGGCCGGGTCTTACCTGTATGGTCTGGAGGTGAGCGTTGATCTTACAATGTGCACAGGGCTCATTTTCAAGGGAAGGAAAGGGAGAACGCTTTCCCAGGTGACCATGCCTGAGTGGCAGGTGGTCACAGGAGCTGGAGACTGAGCTGAAGGTAGACAGGCTGGGCAAGTTAGGACAATTAAATAGTCTCTGCCAGTGCCCCTAGATGGCACTAGAGCCTTGGAGATCCAGCTACCACTGGGCACTCCAGGGTCAAGGGAACTGGACAGCGAGTCAGTCTTTGTGGCCGATCAAGGGCTCCACACCATAGACCAGACCGGTCTGGGTGAAGCTGGGGCATCCAGTAGAGGCTAGCACCCATCAGGGACCTCTTCTGAGGGTAAAAGCAATGGGTGAGATGAAGAATTCAGAGTGGGTGGGAGGTGGAGGAGGAAGAAAGAGAGAGAGAGGCCGAGAGAGGAAGAGTAGATAGTGGGAAGAGGAAGGAATGTAGGGGCATCAAGGCTATAATGAGAGAACAGGATCAAGGACGGCAAGGGACACAGTTGGAGTAGTAGGACCTTCAGGGATGAGAACAAGGTGATGCAGAGAAGATCTTTTGGCAGAAGTGGCGGTAAACCCGGAGGGGAGGAGGCCCAGAGAAAAGGAGAAGGCAGGCTGGCCATTAAGAAAGGCATGCCTCCCCAGTTCCCCACAGGACTCAGAAGACGCACACCATTCCTTCCGGATCTTTTATTGACGTATAGAAAATGTGTTTAGAAAAGGAACTATACAGAAGCTAAAAGCAATCAGGACTAAAAATACTAGTTAACAATGGTTAACAAGCGGAGATTCCAGTCTTTGAGCTACGGTGCCACGAAAGGCGGGGGGAGGTTGGCTTCTCCTCTCCCATCCTCTGTTTTTACTTTTATTTCAGTTTGTGAAAGTGTACATCGCCTGAAGAGTATGTACTCCATTTTCTTCTTGTTTTTTTTTTTTCTTCCTTCCAGTCTTTCTTTTAAGTAAATGCTTTTCCCAAGCACAGTGTAGCTACAAAGGCAGTAAATTGGTCGGTGTTATTTGTACCTGAAAAGGCCGTTAAAGGTTAAAACGACAAACTCAAATTCAGGGGGCCTGGAGGATTTGGTGTTTATGGTTTCTCAGAACAACAATCTAGAGACCACCAGGGTGGGTTTCAGCTGCCCGGGCCCAACATAACAGCTCCCTCAAAGTCACAGCGACTTGCTCAGGGTACCTGAGAGGCCCCGTGGACCTGGGGCGCATCTGAGGTCGGAATGACTGGATGCCTGGGTGTGTGTTCAGGATAAGAAGGAGGAGATTGATGTTATCGGTAACGCATCTAGATTTTGACCCTTGAATCTGTGGAACCATGGTGTGAGTCTAGAGGCCATGGGCAGGGAAAGGGGGTTGGTAGGGGGGCACTTACTTGGCTGACATTTTTGTAGAAACCATGGCATCCGCTGCATCTAACACAGACGTATCTCACCTCCCCCCAGCAGCCTCCACATGGAAGAGGACCATGAAATGCCAAGTTCTGTCTTGGGGAAATCTATTCCTTTATGGCTAAGTAGCATTCAGTTGAGAGGAAGGGGTTCATTTCTGGAGTTTGGGCCTGGCAGCCAAAAATACAATTTACCCAGTACCAATTTCCTTCTAAATTCCTCAGTGTGGCAAAGAGAGCTGAGATTGTACCTAACTGTTCTCTGAGAACCCATGACAACACACACATCCCCACTGAGGAGGTAGGGACAGGTTGGAAAAGGGAAGTAGTAACATCCATTTACTGCCTTCCTCTAGCCTCATTCCCCAATTTTTCCACTGATGTGTCCCTACAGGGACACTCTCATGGTACTCATGAAAGTCTGGGAGGAAAGAGCCCAATCAGTCTGCAGCCTGCTGGTTTGAGCCTAAAAATTCAGGGATTTCTACGTTTGATACTGCCTATATTGGTTTCAATATATTAATAACATAACTCTTTTCCTCTTAAATTCTGGAGTAAAACTGGTGATCCAGGAACACACACCATGATTATTCTCCCCAATCTTGCCAACCTTGTCTACCCAGTTTGAGAAGAAGGATTCTGGAATTCCCTACTCTTCTAATGTTGGGTGGGAAAGAGGCCACTATATTCCCAAAGGAGTGGGGTTGGGGACATAATGTTTGTGTCCTAGTCTTTTTTATCTGCTACCAACCTGCTGTGGAACTTTTTCTTACCTCCCCAATTAAAAACATAAAAAGAGAAAGAAAAAAAAAAAGAAGAAAAGGAAAGAGCTGTCTGGCTGTTTCTTACTTCTGAGGGTGAGGTGGAAGGTCCCCTGGAGTATGTGGCAAAAAACAACACAAGAACTCCCTTTTCTTAAAAGACAGAGAGAAGTGGCTTCAGAAGCCCCTTTGTGCAAACATTAGTAAATCCAAGATGGCAGCCACTTGGCTAAACAAGTAGAAGGGGCAGCAGTCTCCTGATAGGGGAAAAGCAAGGGCTTTAGAATTAGGCAGAGGGATTCCGATTATGGCTCTCCTTAGACCTGTGTGACTTTGGGCATGTCACTAAACCTTTCTGTGCCTCCATTTCTTCATCTGTCGAATGGTTAAACTTGAGTCAGGGTTGTGGTGAGGATTTAATGAAGTAATACAGGTAAAGTTCCTAGCACAGTATATCTAGAAAGTAGTAGGAGTGTAATAAATACCATTTCTCTTAGTCTTCATCTGGGGAGAGAAGTATTAAAAGGCCTATGCCAGATCTGATCTCAGCTGTGTTACTAATTAGCTGTGTGAACTTGGGCAAGTTGCCTAACGTTTTTGGACTTCTTTTTCCTGAAGTATGACATGAGAGGGTCAGGTTAGATGATCTCCAGTCCCCTCCTGCTCTGAAGGTATGTTCCCAACATTTGTCTTTTGGAGGCAGCGTTGAACACAATGGCATCTGGTGGCGGGATGTTAGCAACACAGGGTGTCCCTGGGGCTGCTAAACCAGAAATGGGAAGAAAACAATAGTTCTCATCGGTGCCCTTGCCTCCTGGCCACACATCGGGACCCAAACCCTCTCTGTGGCTTAGATGTTCCAGGCCTCCTGGGATCTTGCTCTGCCTCCAGGAGCCCATGGTGCCAATGAGCCAAAGCCAGTACCTGGAAGGGCAGATGCGGTGAGACTGAAAAGGGTTAAATGTTTCTGAACTGGAAATTTAGCATCAGCCCAGCCTCACAGCAGACAAGGAGGAGCTGATTTGTCAAATTAACAGAGGGGGCAGAGCAGTCTGAGGGACAAGAGCTGTGTTATTTGGATACTCTGCAATAGCCTTATTAAGCTTGGGAAGGAGGGAGGATTTCCGGTTTGGAGAAAATGCAACACTGTCCAAAGACTCTGAGATTTGCCAAGGACATTTGGACAATGAAGTGCTGCAGGTGCAATGAAGTCATGCTTCAGGCAAGAGGTGACCTTGAAAAATTAATCAGAAATGCTGGAGAAGACAAATCAGGCTTGTGAATGCCGTGAAGGAAAAGTGAGGTCCAGGCAGGACTGGTTAAACACTTCTGCTTCTCATTTTCTAAGTGGCAGGGCTCTGGTGCCTTAGTTTCTCCTGAGGTGGGTGAACTGACAGGAGCTCTCTGGTGGGAGGTGAAACCAGAACTCAAGGAATTAATAATGCAGGTCCCTAGACCCTTACACTTGCTCTCTGTACTTCTACTGTGGGCCATTGGTAGAAGGCTTGCTTTCAGTCTCCAATCATCCATCAGCTTCTTTTATTTGTTTTATTTTATTTTATGTTTTATATTTTATGTTTTCTTCTTCCCTGCTATTTCTCAAAGCTTGAAGAACACAGACTGGACATAAGCAAATCTAATGTGGCTACCATTAGGATGAACCAGAGCCATTCTTTCAAACTGGACCTGTATCTACACAACACACCCACTTAAGTATACTAGACCTTTTTTCCCTCCTTGCTTTTGGAGATCTCATTTTCTGTGACTTCTCATTTGGCCTGTTGGTGCCAAATGCTAGAGTACAGTTGAGGGAAACTTGGTCACATTTGTGTGGGGTGGGGTTACAGAAGAAACAAGAGTATGGGGGAGCATTTAGTCAAAGATGTTAGGGAACATGGCCCAAGGACCTGGAGGTCTAGCCAGAGAGAGGCTACAGGCATCACCCAGAAGCCAGCATGGTGTCTCGCCTTTCCTGAGCGTGGAACCTCTCTGTCACTGATATCTGGAGAAAGACAGGCCACCCAGGGAGGTCGGGTGGAGCTGAGTCTGCCACTCCTGGCATCTGGAGCTTTGTGTAAGAGGCAGACTCCCAAACTTCACAGATCTCCCCCGCATCCCCAGGCCTCCAAGGTCCCAAGGCCTTGGCAAGTTTGAAGCAAATGAACACATTATTCCATCTTCTGTGGGATTATTGGAACTAAACTGAAGTTTGAATCTTTCCTTTTCAAAGTTTTAGGACTAGACAGTGAGATACAAGAATGTCTGCTTTGGAGGGAAAGAAAAGGAAGCAGGAATGAGACTGAATAGGAGTCAGGTGATCAAAAGCAAGCACAGACCCTGAGTAAGTAGTTCTACCTTTCCTGAAATTCTGGGCAGAGGTTAAAGTTAAAAAAAAAGAAAGAAAGAAAGAAAGAAAGAAAGAAAGAAAGAAAGAAAGAAAGAAAGGAAAGAAAGAAAGAAAGAAAGAAAGAAAGAAAGAAAGAAAGAAAGAAAGAAAGAAAGAAAGAAAAGAAAAGAAAAGAAAAAGAAAGAAAGAAAAAAGAAAAAGAAGAAAAATGTTTTTATTCCCCAGGAATACTTGCAAGTCCAGGTCATGAGCTCGTCTATTTCAGCCTCCTCAGCTTGGCGCATTTACTGCTCATAGGTTCCACATTTTCTCAACTGATGCTTTTAAAAGAGCTCTTTGAAACGATTCCATAATGACCTACTGTCCCTTAATCTACAGCTCTGTGCTGGGACCACATTTTAAAAGTATAAATGTGATTAAGGTTGTTTGGTTTGGCATTGAGCTCATTGGCAACCTTGGTTCTTCGGGTTTGTCTTTGAAATAAGAGTTTTCAGTGTGCAGGGAACTGGTTGGTTTCCAGGGAACAGGGTAGGAGGTGGCTTACCCCTGCTTGGGCTGCCCAGTTTGGAGCGTGTAGGTGAGGTGTAGGGTGGATTTAACTATTTATGGAAGTTTGCTCTGCATTTCCTTGCTGCCATTTTTATTGTTCTTTTTATTTAACAATTCAATCCCCTGTGCAAATCAGTTGACTGGTTTTCCTGAAACTTGGTTTGGTGTGAGTTCTGGAAACCCCGAGGGGCTTGCTGTCCTCAATCCCCACCATGTTTCACAGTTACTGGCGGTGACTGGGGATGGTGATCGCCACCTTGTGGCCACACCTAGCAAGTCTCCCTCCTCCAGTTAAATCCAGTCTAAAGGCCCTGTGGGAGTTTTCCACAGATTTGTGGTCTCCCCCTGCCCCTCCCCCACCTTCCAGAAAGAACCCTGGAAATTGTGAGTTACTCTGTTGGGAACTATCTTTATCTGATGGGGAAATGAGAAAAGGAAAACCTGGATCTTGGATCTAGGCAGTGGGTCTGTTGCAGTCATTGGTAGGTTTTGTGGGCTTATAAATGCCTATAATTAGGACTGGGATTAAATCCTAATCCTGCACTTAAATTGCCTCTGGGCAGGGTCCACTTCTATTCCTGTGAGTCCCTTGAGAGCAAATGGTGTGCGTAGGTGAGTGCATTGTGAATATCGCTTACTGGATCCACCCTTGGGAAGAACACAAATTTGGAGGAATAAGATAAGTTAAGAAGCTCTAGCTTAGTTGATCATGGATCTTGGGGAGAGAACGGGCACAGTGTCTCTTGAAGATGGTAAAAGCTCGTGAGAAAATCACTCAACTTAATAAAAGGAATCTATACATCCTTTTATAGGAGGTTGGGTGAGCTAATCTTTGAAGTCCTTTTCTTGCTTTAAAAGTTTTTGAAATGAATTCAGGCAATGCTGCAGATACTATTTATAAAAATGTTCCATAGGGTAAAATGGTTGTAATGAAAGGCAGGTTTTGGTTTCCACTGATACTTCCTGGCTTTCACCTGAATTGACCACACAGGGAATCATAATCTCTTTTCGTTTCAGGTCCCTTGATGAGGTAGGCTGTACTGGAACCACCCAGGCCCCTGGGCTCTGCTTTTATGGGCAAAAGGAACTCGGCCTCTTACTTGGCATTACCTCCTCTGCAGTGTTTTTTCCTGTGTGTGTATGTGTGTGTGTGTTTTATTTATGACTTCTGAATCTTCCTTCCTTTTCCTTCCTTCCTTCCTTCCTTCCTTCCTTCCTTCCTTCCTTCCTTCCTTCCTTCCTTCCTTCTTTCCTTCCTTCTTTCCTTCCTTCCTTCCTAAATAAAGGAAGGCTTTTGGTGAATTACTAATCATGCTCTCTCATCAACGCCAATTTCTATTTAGATTTTCAGATCAGAAACTAGCACTGTTGACTATCAAAACCAAAAAGGAAGTTGGTAGCCATTCTAGTCCAAGCTTCCATTCAACAGGGGGGAACTGAGGCCTGGAGAGAGAAAACCACCTCCCTGATGATGTCACAGAACCAACAACATGGCAGAGGTGGGCGTATACCTTAGCCCCCAGCTCCCTTTCAGTGTGCTCCCTACTATTCATTGGTTTCCCACTCTCCAGCTGAATCGCATTTAATTTACATGTTTCTGGACAGGACTGTTTCCCTTTCTTCCTCCTTCTCCTAGTTCTTTTGGAGCCCATGCTGACCTGAGAAATGGTGATGTGGTCTCCACGTCTCAGCCCCAGGTTTGTCAGTCACAGCCTCACCGAGCGGTGGGCAAGGCCTTGGAGGCCTGCTAAGGCAGGGTGCCTGCAGCTAGTGGCAGCCCACTTCATCCACATAAAGTGTGATCAGCAGCCCAAGGGACTGTCTTTTCCTGGGGATCAGAGCTGGGTTAGAGTGTAGCTGTTTCCATTAGGAAACTGCCAACTCTCCAGCTCTTCCGGCAACTGGTTGGGGAAGGAACAAGATGACCCAGTTTGGCTAACCATGGGCATTACAGAAAACAGAAGAGGAACGCGAGGGGCAAAGGGGAGGGCAGCTGGGGAGCTGGGTGTGGATTTTGGCAGATGCCTCAGGGATAGCTACCACTGACATTGGATTTGGAGAAGCCAAACGGTCATGGTTTCTAGAGCCTCCAGCTCTCTTGGGCTTAAAAGTCAAATCACGGTAGTGAAGAGAGCACATCTCATAAAATGGGAGGTAGGCACACAGTCGTCCCCTATTCACCTTTGGATTTCCAGATGTAATTTCCTCTGGCACTTTTCATTTTTCCTCTCAGAGGCAGAATAATAAAAGATGGAGAAAGGCTTCTCATGATGTCAACTCATTACAGAGGTCATTCCTATTTCCCACAGGACCAAAAAAGAGCAAAAAACAGAAACAGTCCCCTCCTGAATTTCACCTCTTTCCAGGAATTATCAGTCAGGGGAATGGCCGGCTGGTCATATAACTTCTTCTTCTAACCCTTATTAAGCCACCCACATTAAGGAGAGCTTGGCTGAACACAGAAATGAGGCCTTCCGTTTGCAATTCAGAAAAAAAAAATCCACGACAAATAGGACCAGAAATAAGAAAATAGAGTTAGGTAAGATCTGTGTTTCCCACGGGACCTGTAATCTCAAATGGCAGATGCCCTGATTTCTACTTTTGTCCTTTCCTCAGTGTCTGACACCAAGTGCTCAACCCACAACCATCTCCCTCTTTCACCCACAAAGGAAGTTCTGTCTGGCTGACCCAAGAGAGAGGGCAATGACTTATGACCCTCAGGGAACACGGCCACTATGCAGCCCAGGGCCAGGTGTGGACAATGCCTTGGGCTTGTGGGGCCGTGGGGGTCTAAGGGTAAGATGGATGGAGGCACAGGGTTGATTGGGGCTGGGAAGGAGGCCACTGCTCTTAAAAGGTAATAGGACACTTGGCTGGTAAGAGTGTCAGAAGACGAGAATCTTTGGCCCACTAAAAAGGACTTGGGTTGTTGGGATGGGGTGAGGTTAATCTGTTTCCTCTGAAGGGGTGTTGATGACAGAGCTCTCTTCCCGAGGCTTCTCCCAGGGGCTGCTGTGAGAACCTGGCCATCCAAGGCAGTGACCAGAGCACGAATACCTGGTAGTGAAAGGCAACTCCTGGGAGTCCAGGAAAAGAAGGCCTGGTGCCATAGCAATCTGACCCCAGGACTTGCCTTCAAGTTGGTCTCTTTAAAACATTCCAGACTTGCCCTCCTTGGTGGGAAAGGAGGGGAAGGTTAAGGATGACTAGGGGGGAGGGAGCATGGAGACCGAGGCCCAGGCCCGGGACAGCAGGCACCACGAGAAGCTACATCCTGCTTCCTCCAACACCCTTCCCTTGTTGCAAAGCACAGTACTCTTACCCCCCACCCCTTGTTTCATATTATAAAATACAAACAAATGAAAGAAAAGGTCAGTTGGCCCGTGGCGACCCACTGCTCAGAACTGCAAGGACCGCCGTTTCCTCCCCACCGTTAGGCGGTGGCTGTAGGGACGCATCTTCATCTCCACGAAAGGGATGGAGAACTCGTGGCCTTTCCAATGGTACCAGTTGATCCCCTAGGAAGGAGAAAGACATGCATGTCAGGTCACCAGCTTGAAAAGAGGGACAAAACCAGGAGCAGGGAATCCAAGATGAGGATTTAGCCATTCTCCACTAACAGGAAGCTTTGCGGCCCGGCTCCCGATACCGTCCAAGGAGCTGGGTCTCTTTCCACCTTTTCTTTTTAAGCATGTCTGTGGCCTGAGTGTTCATCAGGCCTGTATGTCAGGTTATTTCTTATTGCCAGCTTTATGTTTTTGGCTTTTAAGATTTGCATGTACCAGTTATCAGTGTTGAATTTCAGAATCCCAATAGTATACGAGCATTTTGTGGAGAATGATCGTGTTTGACTGCTCACTCCTGATGGGAGAGTCAGGTAGTTTCCACCTAAGGTGACTAGCCATCTTGGTTGGCTCAGGACTGAGGGGTTTCCCTGGCTGCTGGCCTTTGGGTGCTAAAACTGGGAAAGTCCCAGTTGGTCATCGTATCACCCAGCCCAGTCTGTGGACTTGTAGTCTCTACTGGGGAAACATAGTCCAGTTTACACTGGTTTTCTGATCTCTCCTTTCCTGGGACCCTTCTTTAGATAAGGTTGAGCCTGTGAAGCTGTTCCTAACATTGATAAGCTCTCTATAGGATGGTTTAGATGAGGAAATGAAATGGAACGTGCTGGTGGTCAAAGGCTTCTCTGGGTGAGTTCTAACTTCTGAGTCCAAATGCTTTTCTTTCCCTCCTCTGGTTTCTGCTTTGTCCTGCCCTTATTTCAGGGCCTGCCTTACTTTCCTCTTCATGATAGTCCTTTCTCAAGACTGACATTTTTTTTTTTTTTTTTACAAAGGGGAATGTAAGACCCACTTGTGCACTGAACACATAAAGCTAAGTGACAGTGGGTTTCACAGCCCTGGGTCATTCATAACAGTGGCGAGCTTCACTTACCTGACTGTGCCTGGACTCTCCATATTTCCCGTTGAGGTTGGTCCGATGGCAGTTCTTATACCACCAGGCCCCCTTGTAGGACAGGGCGCAGTTGGTAACTGCAACATCATTGTCTCTGTCCTCTGTGGAGAAAGGGCGTCCTTGATGATAGCTGAGGGAGTCTCCTGTAAAAAACAAAGATGCTTTTGTAAGGCCATCTGATTTGTCCCTCTTTTGTCAGGATTGTCTGGACATTTGACCCGCTCCCAACACACCTAGCCTCCACTTCAGGGACCTTCCATTTACCTCTCTCATTTCCACCCATTTCCTCAGCCAGGCTGTACGGAACTCTACTCTACCTTAATCCCTGGCTCAGCTGCTTCCTTGCTGCTCTCAGCAACTCATTTCCTCATTCCTCTGACTTTCTGCTCAGAGCTCTGTCCACTCAGTCCACCTCATACCTCTATCTGTTTCTTCTAGGCCTGCACTGGGCACCAATATTCATGATTCCTTTGTCCCCAGAGGAGACAGTGATGAGCCATGGCCACTTGAGTCAATCTGGGTTACCACCGTGCATCCATGGCCTGGCCTTCTCCATGGTTTATTAGGCCTGGTCAACCCTCACCCAAAACCTCACATTCAGAACTTGGTGCCACATGTAAAGAGGGATCTCAGCAAGCTCGAGTTCCTGTCCATAGGAGAAAGCATGATGAGAAAATCCTAACCATGTCCGAGAAGTGGTTGGGAAAAGCAGGGCTGTATCTTGGGGAAGTTTGCATACGAGATAGACTGCTTGGATATGTGGTAAGATCTCTAGCCTTAGAGGCAAACAGAGGTGTCTGGGTGTTGTCTTGCTGGGATGTTATGAATTGATGATATGAATTGATGATATGAATTGAGTATTTGAGGTGAGGGATCAAACTTTAATTAGTTCATAACTATTGGCTGAACTTTTGGTGGGACTTGTGGTTGGAGATGTCGTAAAGGGGCGAATGCTGTTGAATCAATATTATTGTAGATGCTTCTGAGGTTGCTTTAAACTAGGAGAGACCACCGTTCTAGGTCATCTGTGGTATCTGAGTCCACATTCATGGTGGCCACTCAATGCCTCCCCTGCTTCCTGCCACAGCTTAACTCTGAGGGGATGATTTTTGTTCTACGAGGAAGCCTGATCCCCTCAGGTCAGTTGGATCCCTAACTCAACATACCAGGTCTCTTTCCCCTCCTTTTCATCTTCTCCCAGGCTCCAAGGAATCTGGTTTTGTGTCCATCGAGAGCTAATCCCACTACCTGAAACTCATTTTTTTTAAAGATTTTATTTATTTATTTGAGAGAGAGAGAGAGAAAGTGAGCACGAGCAGGGGGTGGGCAGAGGCAGAGGGAGAAGCAGATTCCCCGCAGAGTGGGGAGCCCCACGTGGGGCTTGATCCCAGGACCCTGGGATCAGGGATAAGTTAGGCAGAAACTTAACCAACTGAGCAACCCAGGTGCTCTCCTGAAACGCATTCTTTCCCATTTCTTCCAGGTCCGGAAGAAGGCAGAAAAGATTTCTTATCTTTTTCTCTTTCATATTTATATATTTTAGCATATTCACCTCCTCCAATCCTAAATCATATTCATATCCTTTAGCTTTAAAACTTCTTGGCTTAATTCTATTCTCTAGGGACCCTTTCTTTTTTTTTTTTTCCTAGGGACCCTTTCTTTACCATTGGTTTAACTCTGTTGCCTCTACCTGCCTCCTATCTTCTCATCTCCTGCTTGTCCTTCTGTAATCTAGAATGGGCTCTCAACCGCTGCTCCCAAATCTGGCTTCCCTTCCCATTTCTGCCTCATACCCACCTCATATATTCAGTACATTGTCCAAGCCTTGGTTTTTCTCTCTCAAACTGCTGTTCAGATTTATACCTTTCTCTTAATTCCTGACATTAGTCAAGTCTCCTATTATCTCCTGCCAGGATTAATGCAGCAGCTGACAACTGGTCTCTGTTCTTCACTCAGATTTACTTTATCCGGTTTATGGCTGTCACATTGATCTTCCTAAAACCCCCAAATCCAAAAGACTCAGGACCTACCATGGCTCCTCACTGCTCACCATAGTAACACCGCTCTCTTGGTTTTAAGGCCCGTCCTCCACCAATCTTCTTTCTGTTTCTTCTGAACTCACACCCTGCCCTGGGAGCCAGGGGCCCTCCCTCCACAGTAACTGCTCCTTCCGTGACTTCTCTTCCAGGGTTTGCCTTCCCTCACCATTGGGACACCAGCCAGATGTTGTTCCTTCCTAGACCAAGAGCGCCTGGTAAGCTGGAAATGAGTACCATTTCTTTTGTGGTTCTTTTTAAAAAATAGATGTTTAGGGTGCCTGGGTGGCTCAGTTGGTTAGGCATCTGCCTTTGGCTCGGGTTGTGATCCCAGGGTCCTGGGATCGAGCCCCACATTGGGCTCCCTGCTCTGCGGGAAGCCTGCTTCTCCCTCTCCCACTCCCCCTGCTTGTGTTCCTTCTCTCACTGTGTGTGTCTCTCTCTGTCAAATAAATAAATAAAATATTTAAAAAATAAAATAAAAGCTCTTGACCTGAACACTTGGAAATAATGAATTTAAAAAAAATTAAAAAAAAAATAGATGTTTAGTTCTTGCAGAGACCATGTCTTATGCTTCTTTTGAGTGCCTGTAACTTGTGCAATGAACTTCTAGGGGTTGCTCAACAACCTCTTATTGATAACTTGATTTGGAATTTTCAGTTCTACTCCAGTTAGAGTCCTGACTAGAGACTTAGATTTTTGTAGCTTGAGAAATGGGGACAGGAGAAAGGGCTGAAGGTGGATTGGAGGCCATGGGATGGATTGTTGCCAGTAGGGCCAATAAAATGAGCAACAGGTCAAGATAAAGGCCAGGGGAACTGGGCAATGGTAAATGCCAGAAAAAGAGGATGGGCTCTTCCCCACTGGAGGCCTTCTGGTCTTAACAGAGCAACCATTGGGTAGAGTTGCCCAGAGAAAGGGGCAGCCTACATAAGCCCAGGTTTTCATCTTTTGAGGAAGATGAACTGAATATTTGAAGGGAGGGGTCAGACTGTGATTAATTTATGATGATTGGTAGTTTTCTGGCAGGATTTGTCTAGGAAACATGAGAGTCGAATGCGGTCCCACAGTCCTGCCCTCCATGGGGCCCAGTAGCAAGATGGAGCTTCGGTAAAGGAAGCAGTGGTTGGGCCCACAGGAGGCAGAGAGAAGCAAAGACCTGGAGCAGGTGAAGAGAGGGGAGGAAGGTGGGACATGGGAGCAAGGGGCAAGTCTTGCTTTTCTTCCTGTGGGAAGAATAAGAACTGCTTTTCTATAGGCACAATTCTAATCTTAGGGAGTTGATTATATCAGGTTTTCTTGAAATGATTTAGTCTGATATCTGCTTCAATACACTCCATTTCAATGCTTCTTTTATGCCCAAAGTGTAGTAAATTGGAGCTATTATTAGGGGCACCTCAGGCAGATCTGGCCAACTGTCATTGGGAATAATCTCCAATATGAACAATAATAAAGCATGTCTTCCCATGGAGTAACAATATGTGGCTGAGAAGAGAAATACTTGGACAGGTGCAGTAATCGGAAGGGCAACACCTTGATGATCTTCTTAATCCCAAGAGGCATAAAAATGCTGCTAAAATTATACACTAGCATTTAGCCCTAAAATTGGAGTTAATGAAAGGACCAATAACTGTGTACCAAACAGTAGAATGTTTGGCAAAACAGGTTTTTATGAAATGTGCTATAATAGAACCCAGGAAACAGATTGGCAAAGCCTAAGAAGCAGACTGGATATTATGTTCCGATAAAACTATTAATGCAACAGAGCTTATAGAGATGGTTGTTCTACTTAGTAGAAATGTCATAAAAATCTATACAGGAAGTGTGAGCATGTATTTGGTTCTTGTGGAGGAATGAAAAGAAACGTGGCCAGTGAGGGTCATTCCAGGGCTCTTGCTGGCACCTGACGAAGGCCTTATGATGACTGCTGAGGGGAGGGGGTCCTCTCAGAATTTGGAGTTGCAAGATGGTTTTCCTGGATGTCATCACAGGGAGGACATTTCTCCCCAGACAGTAGATGATTATGTTCTTGTTGGATTAGAGCCCATATTAATTAATCTAGACAAGAAAAATAATGCTTTGTCCTCACACTGCGCTTTTTTTTTTTTTTAAACTTTAAAAGTACTTCCGCTGCATTGGTTGCATCTTTTTCTGACTACTTTGTGAAGTAGGGCAGGCATCCTTATTATGATTTTCCAGATGAGGAAACTGAAATCCTGAAAAATTGGTTTCAGATCACCGGGGTGGTTAGGGACCGAAGGGACCAGCGCCAGTGATTCTCAGCCCTCCCTCCGCCCTGCTCTTTGGCTGGCAGGGAATTCACACGCTGTGGGGGTGCTGCCACTGCCCGGCCGTTCAGGCTTAGACCGCGGGGCGTGGCGGGGGGCGGGGGGAGCTGGTCCTGCTGCCCGCCCACCGGCCCGGCGTCTGCTCAGGGGCCGGGGTACCTGCGGTGCCGTTGTAGCCCCCTAGGCGCAGCTTGTACAGATTTCTGCCGTCCTCCACCGAGAACTTGTCGTAGTAGGCGAAGGCCGCCTCCTGGCCGTCCCGCATGTCCACGCGCAGCTCGTAGCGGCCCTGGGATGTGATCCTGTGTATGTTGTCCAGCCCTGTGGAGAAGAGCAGAGAATGCTGGGGGCCTGGTCCCAGCGGCTTTGGAAATGGGAGTGAAATGGGACTGTGGCCTCACAGTGGATGTTACAGAGGGGGAGGGGGATCCAGATTGCTTTTGCCCTCAGCCCTTCTCAGGTCATTTATCAGACAGACCTTGCCAGACTCAGAAACTCCTCCTGCAAAAAGACAAACCCTGGTCTGATGATGGGTCCCCCCCTCCACCCCATGTCAGCTCAGGGGTCCTAGCATCCAGTCTTGACTCAGTAGCACACAAACCTTGAGGCTCGGGATTCCTGGCCCTGTCCCCTACCACCTTCCACTCCAAACCATGGTGTTGGGTGAAAATGACAAGACGTATTACATGGGCGTGAATTCTTTGGCTTGAGTGATAGGAAGCCAGAGGTAGAAACGTTGATAGAAGAGTTCAGGACAGGTGCTAGGGGCCTAGGATATCCTACCATCACCTAGTAGCCTGCAAAAGAGATTCTGTTCACCTTATATTACACTGCCTTGCCCTTTCTCAGCTTCCAGCCCTCCTGGGGCTCCCATAGCCAGGTGAGGGGATATTGCCATTTGCCCCCTGACTCCAGTTCCTTTCTGTCTAATCTACCTGCTACAGTTTGCTTTGCCCCCTCTGCATTGGTCTTCTGGGGGTTATTTTCACCCATCTGCTTCTCTTTGGGCTCTAAGCTTCCTGGATCTTGGTCTAATAGATTCTCGTAAGGTGCGAACCTCTGTGAGCCCACATTCTCCTTGGCGATGTTTTCTCGTATATATTCCCTTGTCCGTTTGCCCTGGCTGGCTGGACTCTGGGACTTTCTGATTTTGACCTACCTGTCCAGACTTTGAACCACTCACCTTGCATTGCTGATGATCTCTAAGTCCTCCTGATTTCTATCTGCCTACTGAACCGAGGTCCTTTTGCTTTGCTGTCATAGCTGATATCTATCGGAGTGTACCATGATGAGAATAAAAGAATTGCAGTGATGGAAGGGAATTTAGAGATTACTTAGGCTAATCTCTTTGTGGAAAAAGAGGTTGAAATCTACACAGGTGCTATTATTGGCTGAGGGCCACCTGGATCTTTCTGCTTCCCTATCCTGTTTGAGATTTAAAGCTTCATTTTGATTATAAGTTGAGGGCTGTTTGCTGTTCGCTGGGTTGCTGACCCACAACCTACCCTAGACTTGTGCTTGTGTGGATATAGTGGATCCTGGGGGTACCTGCCCGGATGCCCTTAGTAGATGGTGGACATGTTCCCCAGCTGCTGGATGTGTTGGCTGCTAACAGCTCACAGCTGCCTTCTTCTTGGATAATTGCCTTTGACCAAACAGGAGTCACTTCCCCTTAGTAGCTACATTCTCCCTCCCCCGTACCTTGAAGCAGACCTACATTAATGCCTGATGTAGGGGGTATGAAAGGCCAGACCCCTTGCCCTAGTGGGGATCAACTCGGAGGAGCAATTAATGATCCAGACCTTTCCTGAGGATTAGACTGAAGATCATCTCTCACCAAAATCACATTTTTGCATATTTTCCTCTGCTCTATCTTGTTTCCTCTATTCCCCTACTCCTGAGAGCACTCCCCTAATAAATCCCTTGAACTCTGGTTCTGCTTCTGGGGAACCCAACTTGGGATATAAACCATGGGTCATAGTTACCCCTAACCTGAGTATTGCTACCAAACTATAGATCACCAGGCCATGCCTCTATTCAAGAGCCCTCACTGGCTCCCTACTACCTATGGCATTATGTCAGGACTTCTCTTCCTGGCTTTAGATACCATAATGTGCCTTCATTCAACCCACCTAACTTCATTTTCTTCTTTCCCTGTCTTGCACCTTTCCTCTGGTTGGATGGTTTCTTTACTATCCCATTTGCACATGTCAGAAGAATCCCTGCCTTCTCTCTTTTCTTGTCCTTTCCCTCCTGCATTCTTCTTACTCATTGACTGCCCAGAGCCTCCTCCACAAAGCTGACCCCTCCTCTCTCTGAGTATCTGTGCCTTCTCATCGGGAGTTCATCGGTTAGTACAGTGTTTCTCAGTGTGGGATGGCATCTCTCATGATAGAAGAAATACTTTGGGAATAAGGACTAAAACATACTTAAACATATAGGGAGAAAGGGGGTATTTCCAAATTCTTTTTCTTTCTTAATAGTTTAAGGAGAAACCTTAACTCGGATCCTAACCTGGACTTTCAGTCTCAGTTTGGTTCTAGTACTTTGTGGTGAAACACCCAATACTTACTAACCTTCATTTGTACCACCGCCGGCAACATCAGGCTTGGAGCCCCTGCATTTAACTGTCGTTTAAAAATATTAATATTGTTTTCTTTTCCTTGTATGAATTTTTAAGGCTCCCTTTTGTTTCGGCACATGATAACTAGCTTTCTATGAAGTTTCTTTCACAAAACAGTCGATTTAATTAAATAAAGCAAGTGATACAGAGAACATTTAAGTGCAGGATAGTTCAGCCACCTCACAGATAATGTAAAAATCATGGAATCGGTGCACAGCTGCTGAGGTCCGGGGAACACGAGCCCTGTCTGCCAGGTGCCCGATTTGTGTGCATTGTACTTGTCCCTCAAGCTGTGTGCAAACTCCTGGAAGGTAAAAATACTTCCTATTCACCTGATTTCTCTCTCAATGTTCTTATCGTGTAGCTTTATTACTTACATCAGCCAACACAGATCTGGGCATCCCATAGATACTCGATAAATTCTTATCATTGACGAACTGATTGGTGCCTACACTTTAAGTACCTACCATCTCAGACACTATAAGAGGCAATGGGATGAAAACATGACCAAGATGTGGTCCCAGTCCTGAAAGAAGTTTCCGTAGCATAGTCAAAAGAGACAGAAAGAAAAACTGGACACTGCTTTGGGCCCACAAAAGAGGGAGTGGCCAATCCTCCCATAGGCAAAGGGTGAGAAAATTGGGCAGGACAGGTTCCTCGAAGGAAGAGGAGTTTAGTTGGGTCTCTGAATATACACAGATGGGCACCAAGGTGTCCAGAGGAGGGGGATGGTGGGTTGGGAGAACATTCCTTGCAGAGGAAGCTGCAGTGATTCTGGAGGTTTGGAGTTTGGTGTTGGTGTGTGTATGGGGGTGGGGGTGAGAGGCGTGGGGTACTCAGTGGTGGGAGCAGCCTCCAGGGCTAGATTAGAAAGAGCCTTGTACCTCAACTAAGGGGTTTGGTTTTCACCTGGTGGTGATGAGGAGTCACTGAAAGGGTTTACAAATGAGGTTAACCACAGCTCAGATTTTGGGTGTAAGGAAGATGGCCATGTGGACAATGGAGTCGTCCCGGAGGCAGGGAGGTCAGGTTGGGAGCTGTCGTGTGGCCTCCAGGAGAAAGACAGTGAGGCCTGGATGCTGTAGTGACCAAGATATAGAGAAGAGACCACAAATATGGAACCCGGTTATGCGCCTGTCCCCCTGCCTCCCTGTACATATCACTATGAAAATCTAACCCAGAGGGAGACGCAGGTAATCAATTTACTGCTTTCTGGGGTTGGTACCACTGCCACCTGCCTGGATGGGGTGTGTATTCACCTTCTCACACCAGCTCCATTCTCAATCTGCACCTCCTGCTTGGGTCAGACCTCTAGGAGATGGCAGGACACCTCCAAGGCCGTTTTCATTTTTCTCTTCCCTTGCCAAGTCAGGTAATAAGATTCCCCCGGGGAGCTGGGGCGGGGCGACTGCCTCCTCTCTCTCTCCTGACCTGCAGGCTGGCCGGTGGGTGCCTGGTTTCTGAGAGGTGACCAGCCAGCTGGCTGTGTCCTGCGCCCCCTCCCCCACCAGGCAGCTCACTTCCTTTGTAGTTGCCTCATGTCAAGACCCATCAGCATAAGAGACTATTAATGAGGATGGGAAGAGACAAAGCAAAGAGGAAAACACCACAATAAGATAAAAACAGATCAATAGTGGAGCCAAACAGAGCAAGAGGTACTGAAAGCAATTCACGAGCTGTCGACTTCCCAACAGACACGGCATTTCTGATCATCCCAGATGGACACAGAAAGGAGGGAGAGGGACAAAAAGCCAGAGCAGGGTTCCCAGGGAAAGCACAAAGGAGGATTACCCAGCCAAAACTCATCCTCCAGGTTCCCGAAGCCGACACGGTACTCAGCCCACTTCCGGAAAAAATCCGTTTGGCCGTTCTGCCGTCTCTGGAACACCTGTTGGGGAGACAAGGGGGAGAAACAAAGCGATGCTGAAGAAAATAAACCCTCATGAGTAAAATCGCTGTAACTGAGTTTTCTATCTGCCATGACAAAGATGCTCGGATAAGGAACATTGCAGTACAGAGCTCGGTCTTCACACAGCCGTTTTCGTAAGAGATTCTCAGAGCTCTTCTCTTCAAGTGCAGAGGCCCCCGATGAATAGGCCAGGGTGTGATGTTGACACTAATTTGCACCTCTGCAATGTAGAAAGGATTCAGGATCCATCTCAAGCCCCCAACTAGTCAAGGGGAAATAGGCTTGGCTCTCAAATTAATCTTTTTGCAGGACAGAGTGCAGTAGAAAGCATTTCTCACCAAAAGAACAGGACCATCTTCAAATCAGCTAGTAACTGTCATCATCCTATTGCAGGCAAAGCAACTACATATCACTCACTTTCTGAGCTGTTTAAGTGCTAATTTCATTTAACCTCCAATGCATCAGCCTCAGCTTCAATTTCCAATTATGCTTTAAGAAGGAGGCACAAATATGTCAGAAACATAAAAGAAAATGTCTCTCAAGAGTAGCTTATGAGCACAGTCACCATTTAACTCAATTAAAAAAATCTATCCATTTTGCACCAAGAAATATCCAGTGCTGTGTGTTAGCAGTGCTGGAGGGGAACCACAGGAGGGCAGAGGGGCTGCATGTATGCGGGACTCAGCTAATGCTGGGCTGTTTTAGGGTCAGGCTGCAGGAACTCTCCTGTACGCATAGTGGGCTGCACTGCTAAGCGGGGCCATTTGTGAGGCTGTCCTTTCCCTTCTCTGGGTGTTGCCCTCTTAGCTGTGGAAGGAGGGTGTCTTTCTTTTCCTGACCACTGGTGCATTCGGAAGGCTGTGGGAGCTCTGGGGAGGAACCGGGGAGGCCAGGGAAGATGGGGACAGGGGTGGTCTTGGTAACTAGAGATGGCTATTCATTCTCTGCCCCTCATCTGCTCCCCCATATGCAGTCATCCCATAGACCTCTCCATTGAGGCTCACCTCTTCCTGTAGAGGACCCTCCTCCTACAGAGGATCCACCCCCTCTGCTCCTTTATTTATAGCTGCAGCCTTCAGCAAGCAAGAGCCCTGGGCTTATCAGAGCCCCTCCTCCCTTTCCCTGGCACCCTCCTGCATTAACTATTCTTGCAGAAGGAACAGTATTCCTGGGGTCCCTTCAATGGGCCAGGCCACTGCTGCCTCCATATGCTTAATCCTTCCAGTGCTTGGCCAAACCTGTGACTGCACTGCTGAGCAAGGGCCCAGAGGCAAGGAAGAGCCTCAACATGGACAGGTGGGGGATAGATGAAGACTGGCCAGAGGGAGGTGAAATTTGGATCCATAGATGCCAAGCCAGATGTACTAGACACTGAGGATGTTTGTGTGTATGGGGAACAGCCACAGGTACTTACAATCCAGCCACCCCCGTCGGTGGTCATGTCGCAGTACACCTGTAACTTCCGGCTTAGCTCTCCATTGAGGAAGATGGTATACACCCCACTCAGAGTGTCTCCATTCATCAAATGCTGGGCACAGTCTTGAGGATGAGGAAACACCCGGCCCCCTGCATAGGAAAAGAGGCAATTTCCAGAAAGGATCCTTTCCCCTACAATGTGTAATGACCCCTTGGACTGGAGAAGGTTGTAGAGGGCCTTGTGGGACTTCATCAAGAGCAGTAAGAAATCTTTACTGGATCTCAAGCAGTGTGTGGGAACCCCACATCATCCTGCATTCCCCCTCTCTAACTGATGTTGGATTTATCAAACAATATACAGTTTTAAGTTATCTGAGGACCAAAGATCTGGGTTCACAGTCTGGCTCCTTCTCTTACCTATTTGTTTGGCTTTAGACAAAAAAAAAAAAAGCGTGTTGATGCAGTTAGTGGGGTTACTCAGGTGATGATTACAGATGCATGGGCCACAATAGATCACTGTAGGGCCCACCTTTCTTTTTTTTTTTCTTCTAAGATGTTATTTATTTATTTTAGAGAGGGAGAGAGCATGTGCACATGAGTAGGGGGAGGGGCACAGGGAGGGGGAGAGAGAATCTTAAGCAGACTTCATACTGAGCATGGAGCCTGACACGGGCTCGATCTCATGACCCCGAGATCATGACCTGAACCAAAATCAAGAGTTGGATGCTTAACTGACTGAGCCACCCAGGCGCCCCAGTAGGGCCCACCTTTCAAAGAGATGACAGGCATTAAGCAAAACTTTCCGTCATCCTCAACAGCAGCAGGAAGGAATGCCTAAACAAGGTCAGAGTTAGCAAGAAGATGGATCTCTACTCCTTGCAAAAAATAATCTCCTGATTGGACTAAACAATCAAATGGCCAGGTTTTACAGTTCAGTTTAAGTTTAAGGAAAGGGCAGGGGAAATAAATTGCTGCTCATCTTTCAGAGAGAACAGCCCAATTTGTAGAACAATATCTAATTAGCTAAAAGAGAAGCTTAAATCATGCATCTTGAAGAACTTAGCTTCGGGGCAAATTTTAATGCTTAGCCGGTAAGCCAAGAAGCACAGATTCCAACGGAGGAGATTTCTGGACGGCAGGAGTGGAAAGAGCAAGTAAAAGGGAGAGCTTGCCATGTAAGGAAAAGTGGTTTGGGTGCTCTGTACATAAAATGATGCTCAGGGTCAATGAAATGTGGTTGATGCGGTTTTGCATCCTTGAACTGTAGCAGTTAGGAAGGGGGGCGGGTAGGGCAATCACTACAGTGACCCCTAGTGGCATCACCAGCGCACTACAGGTGCGCCAGAGGGCTGCTTGGAGTTCAGCTGTGGGGGAGGGAAATCAGAGCAAGTGGACAGCATAATGCCACACAGGGAAGGCGATGGAACATCCTCACTGAACGCCCTGGTCATCTAAGGATCCTGTCACAGATCATCTGTGAAGCATCCTGTGTTAGGAAGAGGTTGTCGGGGTTCAGTAGGTCTGTTAACTCCTAGCACAGGGACTGTCCAGCTTGCTGCCATACCATGGTCAAAGTTCGCTCCCATGTGAGGTAGTTTAGAACAAGGGCACTGCCTACTTCAGGCATGGTTGCACCATGGAGTAATAAGACATTTCTATAGAACTTGTACTTGACAAGGTGTGTTTTATTTCTATTTAATTCTTGCAAGAAACTTTGAGAGAAAGGCAGATTGTTATAAATCAGACAGATTGTTATTTGGCAGACAAGGAAACTGCACTCAGCAAGATTTCACAACTTTCACAGGTCATTTGAACTCAAGTTTTGAGACCCCAAGTCAAGTGCTCCCTGAACTTGACAAAACAACGAATGTAACATGTATACAGTTTACAGGAGTTACATCTATCCATACAGCAAAGGATTAATTGATGTCTGTATTTATGTTATAAGCATATAAAACCCCAAAGGTTAAAGTTACCTCAAAAAGTTCTATGTTCAAATTAAACATCTTTATCCTCCAAACTGATTTTCTGAAATAGCTGCAGGAAAGCTCTAAACTTTCATCTGCAGCATGTCCTAGAACCTGACAGAGTTCTTGATCCCACGTATTCCTAGAGGTTACAATTACTTGCCAGGGGACAGGGGCAAGTGAGCTCTTTCCCCTCTCCCTGTTACTTTGGGAGCAAATGATTATGTCCTGGCTCCCAGGCCTTTCTCCACTTGGTCTCTGCAGCAACCTGCCTGACTGCCTTCCTTTCTCCACTCTTCTCTCATTGCCTGACTTTCTCATTTTATGAGATCAGCACAAAATGTTGGGCTTCAGCTCACTCCTACCTTATGCACTAAATAGTCTTTTTTTCTTAATCAATTTAGCTCCTTAAAGGGGCCAGAACTCCCATTTTTTTCCCTGTATCCAATATGTTCCCAGCAGAACATCTTCCTCTAAACCTAAAATGACAACCTCATATAAATACACCTATAAAACCAAGCCAAACTTCAGAATAGGTAAGTAAATGATGTTTTACTTTCTTCACCTTGATGATGTTGATTATTTAAGTTATTGATACTTTAAAAAGGTTCAAACACATTAGTTACCTTGAAGGTAGACCTACCAAAAACAAATACAGTAATTGAGATGGCTTGCCCTGGAGAAGTTTTTACATATCTGAAAGAATGTCATATAAAAAAGGGATTCGTGTTTTTTAAAGTCAGAAAATGGGAATAAAATCAACTTAAGAAAAAAGTGGATTTAAGTGGTGTCAAAAGTTTGGATGAGATGAAGCTTCCAGACTGTACCCTTGAGAGAAGAAGGGCTGTGTTTTTGTCCTTCTGGGCCCCCACACTGGGCTGGTTGGTGGAGGGGCTCACCAAATGTGTTCAAGGCTGACGCATAGTTGCTGGGTACACTTGTCTTACCTTTGACAAATTGCAAAGCCACCTGGTTGTTTCTAGATTTGATTTAGTCTGTGGCATTAACGGAAAGTCAGTCAACAAGCATTTTGCCTGCGTAGAATATCAGGAGCAGTGACTGGGATTTTTACATCCTGGGCACTTGGAGAAGACACATCTACCATGAAACCACTCCTTTTAACCCCTCTCTGGCCCTCAGTATTGCCAGAGTTTTGCCTCACACCACAAGTCCTTGATCAAATCATTATTCCTTTTCATCAGATGAGAGGAGGCAGAGGCTCACTATTCCCAAATGGGGACTTTATTAAAATTCAAATTCCTGGGTTCTGCGGCAAATGAACAAAGTCAGAATGTTGGGGGCTGGCAGGGGATCAGTGTCTTACCAGATCTCCTCGATGAGTCTGAAGAGCAGCTGGATTGGAACTCCACTCTTTCTCTGGTACATTTTCCTCTTCTCAAAGAGGCCAAGAGGTGGAATTTTGTAAGAGCTAGAGCATGTCCCTGAGGGGCCTGGTAGTCTGCTTTCTCTGCCTAGGTCCTATGCTCTAGTGACTAGACCAAATGTCTTGGTCTCTCTGTCTCTCCCTCCCTCTCCTCTTTCCTTCTCTTCTATCCCTTTTTCCCTTTCCTTTCCTGTCTTTCTTTAAGATTGATTTATTTATGAGAAAGAGAAAGAGAGAGAGAGAGAGAGACTGTGAGTGAGCATGGGGGAGTGGAAGAGGGAGAGGAGAGAGAGAATCTCAAGCAGACTCCTGAGAACAAAGCCTGACATGGCGCTTGATCTCATGACTTTGAGATCATGACTGGAGCCGAAATCAAGAGTCAGACACTTAACTAACTGAACAACCCATGTGCCCCCCCAAGTAGGTATGTCTTGAGTGGGCTGGCCCCAAGATTTAGACAGGGTGACGGGAAAGAGAGGGAATAAACGATTCTATTTATTCTTGAGTTTAAACCTTGTGTTCTAGTTTTCCCATTAAGTTCTGCTTTGAGGGTTGTTAGACCTAACTAATAATAAAGAATGCACTGATTCTCACTCTGCTATGTTCCTTGCATGTATACTGTGATTTCATACATTCTTAAGAGGTTGTCGGGACAGATTTCAGGCATCCCTAGCTCTCTGGATGTCACACCATCCAATATCATCAGAAACTCACCTTTCACCCTAACATAGATCATTCCAATAATTCTTCCCAAGGCAGAAATTTTAGGACCAAGAGCAAAACTGGAAGGTTTTTATTTCCTTTCATACAATAACTGGAGCCTGGCCTGACAAAGAGGCTTTTTCTTTTCTTTTCTCTTCTTTTTTTTTTATAAAGCACAAGCTGTGGTGTTTACCAAGTTAAGAGGAAAGCAATGCCAAGTGATCGGTACACTGAAATGTCTCATGGTTAAGTGTTTCTAGATGAAATCATGAGATCAACAGCACTGGGGCACTCACCGGAAGAATTGCTCGGAAATTGGTTTGTGTTAGGCATCCGAAGGCTGAGTGCTGAGTGGGGTGAAGTGAGCTACGTGACACACAGCTCAATCCGATAACCCCCAGCTGGCTGGGAGTGAAGGAAGAGACTTTTCTGTCCCTGCCCTGTTCCTTACTTGTTTTGTATTCTTGGATGCAGTCTTTAAAATGGTCAGAGTTGAGAGCCCTGGAGAGCATCGGCTTCCTGCCCATTCTAATGGCCTTAGCATCAGGACCAAAGCCATGATGCCAATGTTTCCCTCCGAGGACAACCTTAGCAGATCTCTGTGGAACTACACAGCAAAGTGTGCTGTTCCACAGAAGTGCAGGTGACTGCCTTTTTCACCAGTGCTTAGACCGTTCTTCCCATAAGTGGGTTTCTGGTTGGCAGGTTTGTGGAGGGCAGTCTGAGGTCATGGACAGGGCAAAGTTATTTGTTCAGCCCACACAGGCTGTGAAAGCCTACCACTTTAGCCTCTTCAATAGCATCTTTTAATTAATTTACCTGTTTATTCTTTTGTGTATTTGTTCAACAGACATATGGGGGGCATCGTTGGGTTCTGAAACTGGGCTAAGAGATAGGAATATAAAAAATAAAAGGATACAGTCCCATCTTTCATTTTGCTCACACTCTTGTGGGAGAAACAGACAATTATAACCCCAAGTTCTAAGTGCTCTGGGAAGGAGATAAACAGAGGGAGCTGTCAAAACGTGGAGGTGGGTATGTAGTGAAGTTTGGGGCTGGTGAGGGTAGGGCAAACGGTGGAGCTTGGGATGGGGCAG